AGTAGTTTTGGAAGTCTAGGGAACCGTAACTATTGTATGTACAAATGTACAATAATATAATTTAATTACTACATTAATTTTAAAATTTTAAATAAATAAATTGAGTAATTTTGTTTAAAAAAATCTTAAGTTATTATAAATTCACATACTACTTATAATCAAACTATCATATATGATAGGATAATCTCACTAATTAATACCAAGAAGATGCAATATTTTGGAGTAATAGTAATTCTTACTATTCCCTCCATCAACATCCTTAATTAATGTCTGATTAATATCCTTAATTAATATCCGATTCATAAGGGTCCATATACAACTTTGGTCATGACTTGTACGATCATTATATAGGTGCTCTACCGACATTACTAAAATTCAATTTCCTTGTACCTTTATTCTTCTTTTCCCAATTTCTCCAAGTTTGAAAAAAAAAAAATCTATATAATGTTTATCTTCAATTTTTCTAAATTTATCTCAATATCTTAATTTTTTTTTAAAAGATGAAAACATGTTGCCTTATTTAAGGATGGGCCAAAAAATTTACAATCGAAAAAAATTTGAAAACCGACAAAATGATAACCAAAAAATAGGATGTGATTAACTTTTCGATTTTTTTTTTTAAATCCAATTGAATTAACTTAAAATGATTTAGGTTTTGGTTATTAAATTTAAAAATTAAAAAATCAATAACTAAAGTGAGTATAATAAAAAAATCTAATCCAAAAACCTTTTATATAAATTTTTTAATGGTTTTAAAATTTTTTAATTACTTTTTATCAAATTATTTATTTATTTGTGTAACTTTTAGTTTTTTTTTTAATTATAAAAATTAATAAATAATAATTAAGGAATTCAAAAAGATCACTATAAAATATAAAATTCATTTTTTAGTTAAAATTAAAACCAATCTAAATAATTATTAAAATTTAAATTTTAAAATGTTAATTAATCAATAATTCAATTCAGTTACAATTAAAATCGAAACGCGCCTACCCCCTAATCTTCTTTGCCCTTCTTTGCTTTGGACAACAGTGATGAGCACCCCATTGACCATCTACATTACCCATCTCCTCTCACCAAACCACAGTTCAACTACTTACAGTCATCCAAGGGTCTATAGTCTATACCCGCTGCCTGCCATTCTTTTCACACCAACCACCACCAAAAAAAACACTACCCATGGCTGAACGTGGGCACTCCAAGCTCAATCCGTTGAGAGCCACGTTTCCCGTGACCTTGTTGACTCCATGGATCATGGTGAGCTTCCATAAATAAAATCTCCACCAAAGCAAGAGGAAAACAAAACCAACAAAAAAATAAGGGATAAAACTAGAACACCCACAATGGGTGATGAGAAGCCTACAACATGATGAAAAAGTTTACTCTTAAAATCCCTAGAAATTGCCATACCATTCCTATTACAGTATAGATAGTAATTCATAAATTGATATTATTTCTAGTTTCAACCCCCCTTAAAAAGTTAAAAAAGAAAAGAAAAAACTGTATCTCATATATTCTTTTTATTCAACTTTAAAAGTTTAATTTTTTTAATTTAATATAAAACTTACTTAATAAATT